TTTGAGATTTCCAACACAGGGAAGTAGTGATCTGGATAACACCAAGATTCACAAAATTCTCTTCACAAGTTCAAGAGCCAAAGATTTTAACCAGGATTCAGGGCTGCCCGCATTGCCTGCTGAAGCTGCAATGGATATCATTGAGAGCTGTCTGTGCAAAGGACAGAATACAGCTGTTTTAAATTCTGTTAATCAAGATACTCTCTAATACTTCATGCATTGCTGCCTTCCTGAAATAAGTGAAATAATTTTGCTAATTTGTTAATGCCAAATATACCAGTCATACATGCTGAACAGTGAGATGAAATGGAACATCAGACTAACCCAGCATCTCCAAGACCCGAAGGGCCTAAACAATGTGATCTTTAGAAAAGCTTATTTTAACCGCTATCATGTTATGCAGTATCAATAAGCAGGAGCTCTAATTGCCGATACTCATGTCCTACAAAAAGAAATGAAGGCACAGATGGGAAATGACTCTCTTCTCTGCAGATATATTGAGAGAAATGACAAATGAAAAAGATTAAACTTCAGGGATAAAAATTCTGTTACACAGTCTTGATGCTAAACAAGTACAACAAAAAGAATGCAAACATTTCGGAATTTCAGGGTTAATGAAGGAGGATAACAGAAATGAGAGCACTTGGAAAACTGAGTAAAGACATCAGAAGGACTCCAGAAGGTTACGAAGAGAACACTGCTATGACTTTCAGTGCTACAGCTAATTTAAAAGACAACATAAAAACAATATGGGACAAACTCCAAACAGGCAGCCAAGGCATCGTGACTAAGCACAGGATGAAAAGAGAGCCCTAATAGGTGCATATCTCATTTTCTCATCTGCATATTGATGAAAGGTATTTTACCTCAATTACACTCAAACGTTTTTAAGTTCATGGCTGTGAATCAGATTCATATAATCAAAGAATGGCTCAGGTTGGAAGGGACCTCAAGGATCATCAAGCTCAGACCCCTCTGCCACAGGCAAGGCCACCAACCTTCATATCTAATACTAGACCAAGCTGTCCAGTATCCCATCCAACCTGGCCTTCAGTAGGAAGGATTTCTTAAATCCTGAACACAGACTTAAAGAATGAAATATGAAATACGACTGTCTCTGGGAAAGAGAGGTCCAGACTTAGCAGATCTATTATTACTCCGTAATTGATGTTAAAATTCTGATTATTATTCACCAGCTACTGAAAAAAAAAAAAGCATCCTACACATTTGGGTCTAAAGACCAGAAAACAGAACTTTCAGAAATCAAAGCTTGGCCTACTATATGTATTACATGCATACAATATAGTTACAGCTACTACATTATATCACTACAAATATATCTCACTCACTCTTACTGAGCTAAGAGCCACCTCCACTTTATTTATGTTTTTCCTTGACAGTGCTGATGTCTCTGTTTCTTGTGGATGTTTTTTCTGAATTGGAGAACCAGTGCAATATGGAAAGAGGAAACTAGGCTTAACTCACCTTTCATCTGCATGGGAACAGACTTTTATACTTAGAAAATTCACAAGTTAAGAGTTAAATTCATCTACAGATTATTAAGAGAGAAGAATTACAATTCCTCCTTTACAGAATGGTGTCAAGACTCAAAGCCTTAAAGTTTTATTTCTACTTTACTACAGCAGTTCATTTTTTTCCTCCACCATAATTCAATGCAATTCAATTGAATTCACCCTACAGGGCATAAAATTCCCAACAGACCAGGTGGGACTTCAAACTGCCTTGACTTCACCTTTTATTAGTGCAGCTAAGCACAGAAAGATTAAAGAAAATTCTGCTTAAGGATGATTTACTCGACACTAAAGCTATAACCACAATTTATACATGAATACAACAAAAGTATTGTTTACAAGGTAGTTATTCGAAACTTCTTAGGAGAAAGAACACATTACTGGAAGCCACAGCCAAATTCATTTTCAACTACTGGTTTACTTTGTATTGACTGTACTACTTTGTCCTGTATGTAATTCATGCTCTATCACAGCTTAAACAGCCAAGAAATACACTGACTGATATAAACCACTGTACCAACTTAATAAATACATCAATTGTTGTAAATAGTATACTTAACTAGTGTAATAGTATACATTAGTATACTACTAATAGTATACATAACAGATTAGTATAGTTTAATATAGGCGTACAGATATAATTTGAACTTGTCCACAGATAATACAATAAACTGTAGTTGTATCTTCTCCAATCACATGTAGTAAAGTAGTTAAAATATATATGTGTTTAATAACATCATTTTTAAATAAAGTCTAACATGAGGCATCTATAGCATTCATGTGATATAGCCAAAGAGCATTTTGCTACCTCTCCTATATAGCTAATTATACCATTTATTAATTTTAGGGAAAAATACGCTAACTCACTTATCTCAAGGAAATTACATGCACATCTGCTGGAAGTCTTACAGGTTGCTTCTGGTATTGGAGGAAGAGACCTCTAACAAAGAAGAATTTCTACACAATCACTATGCACTTCATATAGCACTTTTTTTCCCTCCACATCAGGGATTATTTTTGTTGTTTTAGTTGGCAAATTTTGCTGTTAAATCTTTGAATAGCCTGAAAATTGCCTTTTCTGTACACTGTCCTCTCCTCATATGCTATACCACAGCTGCAACGTTCAGCTGGAAAGCTGTTGTCTATTCCTATCTCTGAGTTGCCAAGCTGAATGGCAGTCAGGCACATGCTGAAAGGACAGAACTAAATGGGGAATTATTTTTACAGTCACAAGAGAGTCTGAGATTGCTGCATTCAATACTTGTCAATACAAACAGAGGGTAAGTGTAGTATTTGAAAAAAAAAAAAAAAAAAAAAAGGGCAACAGTAGCTGTGGAAGGAATTCCATTTACATTGCACCTTTATCCATTTGTATGAATACAGAACTTTCAAAATTATATAGAAACACTATCTATTAAATTTACACCATATCTACTTAAAAACAGATTTACTAAAAACATTCAGTGATTGGAAGCAGGGCATAGATAAACAGTTATTTTTGTTAATTTTATTATCAAAGTATGAGGTCCTTATTGCAAACTCCAATAACTACTGAAATTCTGGGAAAGCTTAACAGACTTTTAAGGATTAGCTATTCAGTAGGTGTAACTCCTTTCCCTCACACTAGCTGATGCACAGAAGGATGATGAAGTGCTCTCAAATCAAATTTCTCCCAAGCCACATTTAGTTGCCTAAATAATGATAAGAATGCTGGAGCTTTTGATTTCCAGGCCACCCTAGGGCTGTATTTCTTTAATCACAACTACTGCTCTGTACTTCCTCCTAAAATATATGCAAAATAAACAGGGCCTAAAATCTGTTCTTACCTCTTTCTTACCTCTGGAGCATCTTGTAGGATGACAATACAAAAATGAAAACATTTCAGGTAATTTGATTAAATTAAAAAAAGCAAAAAACAGATGAATTGCATCGGAGTCAGTGATCTCTTTCTGACCTCCACAGTTCTGTGATTCTGTCTTTGCTACTGAACTCCTAAAAAAGCTAATCCTTTCACTTTTTTTTTTTCTCTCCATTTTTCCATTCCATAATTTGAAACATTCGTAGAAAGTGTTGAAAGGTTTTGTAGTTCCATTTAGAGCATCTAGACATTAATTGTTTCCATAGAAAAGAAAGTTCCTTTTCTCTTTCCTCAAGTGAAACTTTTTGATTTATTTATTGAGGTCCTTTTTAATGCTATAAACTAAAAGCAGATGAGTAATACAAATTGGACTCAGTTCTTTTTGAATAATCCTAGGAACATCTGTACACTGGTCAAATCATACACAAGAAGAATATAAAGACAGGAGAGAAAACACAGGTGAGCTAGAATGGAAAAGACATCAATTGAAGGCTTTAGAAACCCATTTGCCTGGTGTATTTTCCTTCCCATCTAAATCAAGACTTTCAGTTTAATCATTACTTTACCTCCAAGTTCAATTTTCAGTGTTATTTCTTTTTCTTTTTGAGAAGCACTAACCACACAAATGCCCCAAATAACACTAATACAGAAACTGCTCAGTCAGTGACTCACAACACATTTATTCATCCTCTCTATTCTGTAATCAAAGTACTTCCCTGAAAACAGAGAATCACAATGTGGCAGGATAGAGAGGTATAGACAAAAAGTACTCCTCAAGCATTTATGATCTTATGAATACCAACTTACCTACATACCTTTCATGAGCGTTTATCCATTCTCCAAGCATTTTACAAGCTATTTAAGAAAAATCATGACCTTCTTGTACATAGTACCTAGAGAACCCAGTCAGGCTGAAGCTGCATTCAGTACCCAACAATGAATAGAAGAAGCTACACAACTGCTTTTTGTTTTCCCTTCTCATGGGTTTTCTTGGACTGAGTTCGGAAGTGATTCATGGCAGACTACGTACAACTGCTAGTGAAGTACAATAAAGGGTACTAGTGAGTCGAAAGAAGAGAGCCCACACAAATCCTGTATACAGAATTCAATTTCATGAAAGACTACTAAGTTAGTAATAAGGCAAATAGTAAACAACTCTGAAAGGAATGGTCAAACAACCAATTAAAAACCCAAACATATCTGGAATCTGTTCAAATACAGTATATCAGAAATTCCCAAAGCCCTAACTGAATCTATAAAACTAAGAACATCAAAGGAAACAATTCAGAAAAACATGCTGAGAGGAAAAGATCATGAAAAGCTATTAAAAAAAATCAAGTTAAACAAAGAGTGATGTAAGAAGGAATTTGACAGTAAATTCAACAGTATCAGCTGCAGAGGTGTTTGTTATCAGGTAACAACCTATAAAAATTAACCAGTATATAAGCATACACTATAGGGCATAGGCAGGAATAAGTCCTTGAACTCCACAATTCCAGTGACTGCAGATGATGTGAAAAGTGAGGCAGGCTTGCGTGCTCTATGAGAATAGCATTTGTTATCACCATTGTTACAGGTAATACTGATGCACTTCAGTACTCCTCTCTTACCTCATTTTGGAGGTCCCGGATCATTCTGCTCTTCCTTTCCATTTCTGTCTTCAAAAAATTAATCTACAAGTTGAGTAAAAATACTGAGTAAGTTTCTGAAACTTAGCTAAACACCACCTTAAGCTTATTTTTTTTCTTTTAACTTTATTCATAGCTTAAAAAAATAAACCATCCCTAGTAACAACATATCTTGGAAAACTACTGTTTTAAACCAGATTGGTATAGGTCATCACTTTGTGTTTCATGATTAACCTATAAGTGGATACCATGATATTTATTGGGAAACTTAGAATTGAGGAAAGAAAATCACTATGCATAAAACCCCTCATTTGACTCTCGTGCTAGTAGATATAGCTTTCTTTGTAATCAAGTCCATGGAGACCTTCAGAGAACTAAGGATTTTTTTAACAGTAGGTTACTAACAGTCATTAATCCTAATGAGAACAGATCCAAGCTCCCCATCAGTATAATTTATTAGAGTATTGTTCTTCCTTAGTCCTAATTCAAGAGAATGTCAGTGCTCCCTCAAAACGTATCAGCTCTAAATCTGGATGAAGATACGGCACTGAATTTATTGACTGTGCTCTCTATACATTTGTATAATCAGTGAATGTACAGACATTATAATTATGGAATATACCAGAGAATTTGGCTAAGCAGGTTACTATACAATAGAGAATAGATAGAATACTTACTCATGTCCTGAGCTCGCCGCAAAACTCCAGAAGAGAGGATCTCCAGAAGAGATCCTCCCCCACTGGTAGTCAGCTCTTAAATGGGTCTAGGAGAGGTGCAGCCTGGCTCCACCCCTTCCAGCAGCACAGGTGAATTGCCTTCACCTGTGCTCCCATGGCTGACTCATTGCTCGCCTCAGATGATCAATCAGAGGTTCAGGCTATGATTCAGCATTTCCCATACAACATTGCTTGTAAATATCAGCTAGGTGAAGAGACAGTTAATGTGGCCAGCAACTTGTATGATTATCTTCACCAGTCCTCACATAATAATGGACGATAATATTGTTTCAGAATCTCAAGTTGAGAAGTACAATCAGAAAGCAAATAACAGTGCACAAACCCCCTTTCAAGTGTACAAATTCTGCTTTCAGCCTCCAAATCCTGATATATACGAATAGGCTTTCGGGTTTTCCTCTACCAAAGGCATGCGAGCTAAAAAATTTAACTATGAAACTCTCTACATCTTTCCCACTTTCTACTCACTTTTTGTTCTTGTTTGACATTCAACTCTTTTCTAGTGTTGGCTTTCTTTAATTACTATCTAGCTAATTATGAAAACACAATGAAAACGTATTGGCGTTCTAAGGCTGAACTCTACAATGCTAAGCAAGGGCACTGCTTCTGTCTCCTGGAGACAGACATTCAAGGTACACAGAGCTTTGTGTGCTTCAGAGCTCATTACATTTATTAAATGCAACAGCTTCCATCCAGTAGCTTTTGCTCAACAGCAGAATGTGACCTTGAAATGCTGAAATTAGATTTTCCCCCACTGAAATATAGAATGCTTTAGCAGATGGCTGTGATCTAATTCTGAGAGACAGACAATAGTTAGTTACTCATCGCAGAGGAAGGACAGACTAATACCAACACAAAGTCATTACTGCACAGTCAAAGCTCATCTGTACACTTATTTGCTTACCTGCAGACACCTTTTACATTGCTTAGGACTAAGGCAGGAATTATTAAGATGGGGCTGAAATACCTTTACTGGCATATCTGTAATACCACTGTTAATATCCATTAACTCTAGTACAGTCAGTATTAATTTTCATAGTCTAATTTTCAAGTTACACCATAGGAATTGACTCTGAAAGCCGAGAGAATAGGAAGCTATACACACAAGAAATATTCTATCTTTTGATAAAGTGAGAAAATAATCCACAACCTGTTCAGTATTTCTGAAAGCAAAGCCAAACACAGTTTATGCCTGCTAGGATTCCTTAGGTGAATTCAAATTTAAATTGTAATTTGTGAATTAATAAAAAAACATTTTTGTCATAGAGACACGTATGACTTTGTCATAAAAACTATTAGCAAATAATATATTTTGGAGTGAAATGGACATCTCATCTTTTTATGAGTTAGCGGTGGTAAGAGATCTGGCAATAGATTTCTCACAATTCAATCCTGCATGTTCTGTTTGTGTTGTATTACTAAGAAGGTCCTAGTGATATCCAATTAACCATATCATTTTTGCTTAGTTTTTAACGTCATGCACAATGAGTTACTTAATTCTAAGTTTTCATAGCAAGCACTAAGCAACTAGGAAAAAAAGATTTTACACAGGTGTATTTTCTCCTCTATTTTGACAAATTGGACAATAATACACTGTCAAACTGTCACTGCGTCTTTCTACTGTTTCACACTGTTAGTGTGATATAAAACAGCAGCAGGAACAAAATGAAAAAGGCATTCTAAACTTAGCCTACCTACCCTACTTTCCCTATTTATTTCCCACCCCCTCCCTGTTTCTTTGGTAATTTCTCATCTTCATTAGAAAAAACTAGTCCAGCTGGTTCTATACACTCTGATTGAAATTAATGGGAAAGAGCTTTAAGTAGTGGTTCCTTTTCACATATAAATAAAGCTATGGTTTAACTTTTTTTTAAGAAATACATTCACTGCAAAGCAACCTATTATAAACTACTACTACTTTGGTATTTAGTACTAAAAAGTTTTACCAACTTTTACTGATTGCTAAAGGAGACAGCAGGTTATTCCTGAATGTTTTATATACGTATTACACACCTAAATCCAGTATAGTACTCCTAACAAACTTTATTTTAGAAACACCTTTTGGCAGACAATCCACAGCTGCAAGCTGGCTAGTAGACCAAAAAAGATCTTCACAATTCTAAGCCTTCTGGAAGACTACTTGACCTTGAACTTTGCAACACAGGGCCACTGAAAAATTCAAGCCATCCTCATCAAAATAGTTTTCCTCTGCACTTCTAATCATCTTGCACAGATTGGAGGTAGAACAAGAGATATGAATTTATCATAATCCTGCCATATAACTCATCCCAAAATAAACTGATGCTCTTTGTACGCTGGTGCTACAAATGCAAATGACAAAGGACCTAGAAAGGGAGTCACTCTCACTCAGGGCCCCCAGTCTGTCCTCAGCACAACTGGAACTGTCAAGGACAGGAATGTCTTTTTGGTTCCTCAATACTGAACCTCTCTGTCAGTCCTCCAAACAGCTTCAGGAGCTATCCACTGAGCCCTATCACTACCTCAGTAAATCCACAGAACAGCAACTTTTTAGCTGTCCTAATGTCCTTGGCTTCTCTAATATTGAAGAGTTTTTAAAAATTGACTCCAAAGTACTTTTGAAATATTTGTTCAGTCTTTCTGCTGGTGAATAGATGCATTTTATCCTCAGGCACAAAGAAGTAAGTGTCACAAATCAAGGACCCAGCACAGCTTTCCTTAAAATCAGAGGTCCATTTAGTATTCTTTTATTAGCAACTTTTAGAACACAGTTCAAGAATTCCATTTCCCTATCTATATAATCAATGAATATACAGATGCTATAATTAAGAAATATACAGGAAAGTCAGGCTAAGTAAGATTATTCCAACAGGAAGATAATAAATGGAAAATGCTTACTGACGTTGTAGGCTTACAATATTCTCCACAAGGAGTGATCTCCTGGAAGAGATCCTTCCTCAATGGCAGTCGTCTCTTACATGGGATCTAGAAGAGATGGAGCCATGCTCCAGTCCTTCGGTAGCACAGGTGAATTGCCTTCACCTGTGCTCCCATGGCTGACTCACTGCTTGCCTCAGGTGGTCAATCAGAGGTTCAGCCATGATTCAGCAGTTCCCATACACTATCTAACCAGATGACAATCCTCTACTTTAAGTTCTATTATAAACTCAGGGGGGGTTGTTGTTTGTATCTTGTTTAATTTTCTGTGATAGATTTGTGTTCTCCCAAAAGTATTATACTAGGAGCTGAATTTATGCAAAGCACCGTTCTTAAAGCTAAAAAAAAACCAACCATGCTGCATAGCAAAACACAGAGCCAATAATCTCTTCACCTCAGCTGATATTTATTTTACTACAGCCAAGATAATCTTGAGTAACAAACATTATATAAAAATTAAATAACATGTTTTCCACATTTAATTTGTAGGGCTAGAATTTGGTTTGTCACCTCAGCTATGAGAATGTATCAGTGCATCTGGAAAAGACAATTAAAAACAACTTTGGAATAGCATGTTTTGAATATGTAGCAGAGAGGATCAGGCCCTAATCTTTTATTTCAGAATGATATATCTGTTTACAGTACAAAACATCTTCAAAGAAGTGTAGATTTTTTTTCTATATATATTCTGCTCAAACTATTGAAGAAGATTCAAAATATACCTCATTTTTTTCAGGTTTGGTCAGAATACTACTTGCTTATTTCTTTCCCCTCAAGACTAGATGAGGGCTTTTATTCTCTAGAGAAGCCTACAACTACTAACAATTCAGCAATTATATGCTGTGGAGGAACATTACTTTAGCGTAGTATAGTATTCTACTTTAAGCACCTAACACATAGTTTAGATGTCATGACTACCTACTCTGGGTCAGTCTGGTCCACAAATTGGACCAAAGATCTCTTATTACGGACACTGTAATATATTCATTAATTTCAGAGAGAATGTCTTTAATTCCTAAATATTAAATAACTGAAATTAAAATTGAATGAAACTAAAATAACGAACTCGTCTCTTGTTCACAAAGGACTGAAAGCCACAAAGAAATCACATCAAGGCATTTCTGAATATTTGCTAAATTGCATATTCATACATACATACAAGTACCCTTGTACTGTGAGCCTGAGAACTGGTAAAACATTACTAAATAAGCCATCAATTACAAAATATGAAACTAAAAAATATATCCACAAAACCTGTTAAGAATCACAGAACACTTGAGGTTTATAGGAAATAAATCTCCAAAAATTATCTAGTTGATTAATGCTCAGCAATATTCATGTTATAAAATTACGACTGAACAAGACTGGACCACTTTCATATTTATATCCAAGAACTAAACAAAGAACAATTTTTTTTTTTCCCTGCAATAACAAAATTTGGCTGTTTGTGCCTTGAATTTATACCTTCCAGTAGTGATAATGAGATCTAGTGTTGTCAAGACTTAGCTTTCTCTTACTTACTTTCATGCTGGAAATTAGTAGCAATTAAGAAAAAAAGTCAGTGGCAGTATGACAACATACTTTGGTATAGATGAGACAAGAGGTCCATAAATGTAACCTCATAAGGCACAAGGACTTGGGTCCAAATCTCCAAGAAGCTGGATACACACACCTACATCCCACAGAAACTAGTGGAAAAACATCTACATTTTCTGCAACATACCAATTTTATCCACCTCCTTTTATTTGAACCTTACAGAGTACTAATGCATCTGAAATCTTAGGTTTTGTTTTAACATGTAAGACATCTGAGATAATGCAAAAAACTTAGGCGAGGAGGATTTAAAAAAAAAGATGGAAGAAAAAAAAAAAAGGAAGAGGGACAGACTCACTCACAGTATCTTGCTGCTTTTCTGCCTTCTCAGCTGCCTCATTAAGCTGCTTTTGAAAGGCCTCCTGAAGAGATTTCATTTCTTCCCTAGGCATTGAAAAAACAAAACATAAACTTCATCCCAAGAGTCCAGTACAAAATCATTCTTCAGTTTCCAGAGAAGAGTGACAGATGTGTTGCATTTACTAAGCGTCTTGCTAATAAAATTAAAATGACCTCATGAACTATAGTGCCAGTACAAGACAAAAATTTGTTCATGATGGAAATTTACGCTTATCAAATGTCCTGTTTTGCAAAACATCTGCCAGTATATAGTCTCTAGAAAAAGGAACTGGTACAATAAAAGCAAGGGAAGTGGACCTGGAAATACACTATAATCAAGAACTACTCATTCTAGAAAGAAACAACGGGGAAACCAATAGAAGATGCTGGAATACAACTGCACAAGAAGATGTAATAATTTGGATGGGGCAGTAGTGGATTCAAGATATTTTTGCATTACTAATACAATCAGAGTTTCTCCAAGGTGATTACAGCAGGCTGAGATCTTCTGGTCATCTCTTTTACCCACAGGTGACACATTTTGGAGCTGCTGCAAAGTACAAGACTGACAAATTTCATAACTTTTGCAGAGCATTTTCAGAGCTGTTGCTTGCATCAATAAAATTTAATGAATAAGGAGCAGCGTAGAACCAACTTTACACTGAGATGATAATTTAACTCAATGAAAATCAGCCAGGAAAAAAAGGCAGCAGGCTTGTACAAGAACAGAAATTGTGAGCTGCTGAATCATCTTTTTTTTTTTTCTTTCTTTCTTTTTTTTTCTTCTTATTTTATAGCTCTTTTATGTTCGCAGTTTGGAGAATGCTGGTGCAAACAGATTGATCTGAAATAGAGACCGAGCAGCATGAAACCAATGCATCATCAGCACAAACCAGCTCTATCATTACATACACAAATGCAACCATTCTGAAACACGAACAGTGCACAAAATAACTGACCTTGAGATATCATACTAAATGACCAAATTATACTTGCCAAAGTAAACTCACGCTAAGGCAATAAAAAAATTATTAAAAAAAAATCTAACATGAAATCAGAAGGGCTACATTAATTTACACAAGCTGAGATTCTAGCACTCCAAACTTTACTTTAGAGTTCATCACTGCAGAGCATAATCAAAATGGTGCTCACAGACCAAGTGCAGCTCACATTTGTCCAATCAAATCATGATATATTTTGGATTGTAGATCAAATACAATAGAGTCAAGCAGAACAGTATCAAGTTCATCATTCTTCACTTGCTGAACAAGCATAACCTGAATCTGTTGGCAAAGAAAGTGATAAATTCTATGAGGGGGACTTATATTGCTAACAGTGGCTTCTCATACTGCACGTGTCAAAGTAAAAGTGAGAGCCTGTAAATGGCCATCAAGAGCCCACAGTAGATACAAGCCATTTTCTTGGGGCCTACAGTAAAAGCCTTTTATTTTCTGCCGGAAGGTGAAGGCTGCTTGGTCTTATGCTGCATATTGTATTGCTCCAGGGTCGGTATCTGTGAGTTACTGTTGTGCAGAATACCTAGTGGTTGATACACTTAAAAGTCCACATTTGGTTTTAGGTAGACCTTGAGAGACTTCAAGGGGAGATTTAAGAAATATATCAGGAAATTACATTTTATTATACAACTAAGAAATACAATTTTCCCTTAGCAGACTAGGTTTTCCTATCTGCAACTGGGAAAGCCTATTTACTGAATATACTTTTAATTACTAAATAATGGTTTTAATCAATTAGCATTATTATTTTTATATAAATTACACAACAATCTACCATTGCAAAACCAGGATCATATATGAAGGACACATGGCAAGAATAGCAGCGATGCTTTCATTATAGCCATGTAACATGTAATTGTTTAAATACTGTACTAGCTGAACAAATTCTTTCATCATTTAACAGATTTATATGGAATATCTGAAAGACTCTTATCTATTCAATCCTTCTCCATGGAAGCAAAATAGAGAAGATCTGTATTGTTTTCTTATGGCTCCAACTTGCTTTGTATTGAAGAACTGGAGGATCTTGTCACAAGCAATCTCAAATCTTCATGTGTGCTTCAATAAATACATTATCAGCAGTAGAAAGATTGAGAGATTTAAGTCATGTATTTCTAGCAATAGTGTACTATTACTATTTTTTTGTTTCCAGAGAAAAATATGAGATATGGATGCATTCATTACATAATGCTGTTTCAGACAATGTGATTCCTGTAGTAGTAATGTTTACTTGTGATTGAAGTTGTATTAATGCTGTGATTTACCTGTCTGAACTATAATAACAAAAAGAAGTAGGTCAGAGAGTGCTGAATAATGACAATACGAAGGAATAGGAAGTTTCATATTTAAATGTTTGGGAGAAATACAAAATCCTTTTTCTTAATAGATATCTCCCCAACTGATGTCCAATATCAGTTCATATGTCTCATATGTTTCAAAAACTTCTCACAAGATAGCATTCCTTGCCTTTATTTCACTGTTACTGCTAGGATCAGTAGACTCCAGACTATGTGAGTGTTTATAATTTAAGGCAAAAGGAGGGACGATGTTTTCCAATATTGTTGCTTTCAGTCTAAAAAGTGAAAGGGAGAAAGTATGCTCTTACCTTTGCTTTTTGCCCAGTTCAAGAAGTTTCTGCACATCACTTCTGGCTGACGCTTCATCATTTTTCAAAGACTGATAACAAAGGAAAAGAATCAATTACCAAAGAGATCTTGAATTCTGCTCATTTGTGAAATCACTGATTGGGATCCGTTTTGTAAAAACGCTCCCAGTGAATTGCCATGGGTGAGAAAAGGAGGAACACCTGACTATGCTTTTTACTGTAATTCAGCACTGCTAACTATACATCATTTTGCAGCAAGCACTACACTGCATCCGACTGTGTAAAATAGATTAAGAAACAAACAAACAGAATCACAGAATCACACAGAATCACAGAATCACCCGGGTTGGAAGGGACCCCAAGGATCATGTAGTTCCAACCCCCTGCCTAGCAGGGCCACCAAACATACACATTCAGATCAGGTTGCCCAGGACCCCGTCCAACCTGGCCTTAAACACGTCCAAGGACGGGGCATCCACAACCTCCCTGGGCAGCCCGTTCCAGGGCCTAACCACTCTCCTAGTAAAGAACTTCCCCCTAACATCCAACCTAAATCTTCCCTCCTTCAACTTAAAACCATTTCCCCTAGTCCTGCTGTTATCAGCCCTTTTGAAGAGTTTACTCCCCTCCCGGGTGTAGGTTCCCTTCAGGTATTGATAGGCTGCAATGAGGTCACCCCGCAGCCTTCTCTTCTCCAGGCTGAACAAGCCCAACTCCCTCAGCCTGTCCTCATAGGGGAGGTGCTCCAGCCCCCTGATCATCTTAGTCGCCCTCCTCTGGACCCTTTCCAAAATCTCAATGTCTTTCTTGTACTGAGGGCTCCACACCTGGACACAGTACTCCAGATGGGGCCTCACAAGAGCCGAGTAGAGAGGGACAATCACCTCCCTGTCCCTGCTGGCCACCCCTCTCCTGATGGAGCCCAGGATCCCATTTGCCTTTCGAGCTGCCAGAGCGCACTGCTGGCTCATATTCAGTCTCTCGTCCATCAGGACCCCCAGGTCCTTCTCTGCCGAGCTGCTCTCAAGGACCGCTCCTCCCAGCCTGTACAGGTGCCTGGGCACTGAAACGACTGAAAGCACTAAGGAGGCATGACAGAGATCAGTGTGTGTGTACAGAATTCCAGAGAATTACTTTTGTATCTTTGGATCTCTGAGGTGTTGAATATGAAATACCTCACAATATGATTTTCCTGAGTACTACCTTCAAACTGCTGCATAAAAAATCCCCTTCTAAATTACCTTAGAAAAAAGAAGTAAAAAAAAATGCAGTGGGAAACTACTGGTAGTGCTGAGGTGGGGTTGGGTGGATGGAGACCACCCAATGTTCTATAGGGCACCATACACATTAATTTCAAGGAGAGAAATCTTGAATATAGGAAAATAGAGCACAACAATATGCTACAATACAGTACTGACACACATTGTCTCTATTGTCCTGTGCAAAGATACAAGGATGCCACTCCTTATATTTTTCCTATCTAGCTTACATCAACATAAGGGTACATATGCAATGGCAGGAGAATACCAGCCTCTAAAATACTATGCAATACCAAAAACCTCAGCCAAAAATGAGCCACTGCTAGACTGACAAACAGTCTCAGGCAGACAGGCATACTCTTATGTGATCATCTGATGATTTCAGTACGGGATCCAGAGCAAGATCTCTACTTTTCATTCTACGGAGCTGATATGATGGCAGAGTTAATCTGACTATTGTCCTTTCAGCCTGTCCACATTACCCAGAAAACCTCCTTAGTTAAAGCAGAAGTGTTCATCAGCTCTGGATGCCTAGCTGCCAGCTCTTCTAACACTGTCTGTCAGTTAAACTTGTAAAGTAATCCCCTGCAGTAAATCCAGTCAGTTGGTGTAGACTGCATGTCTGCAAAGTAAAGTTAGCAGCTACATTAGGCTTCGTAGGTGCAACTCATCAGCAAAGATGTGGCCTGCAACAGCAAAGGAAATCCTTTCATTGTAGCTGCCAGGTTCAATGTGTGGGAAGACCACTATGATTATTCTTTTCTGTTTCTTCTTTTGTTCTGCTACATTTTGTTTGCTCAACATTTTGTTTTTTTTTTTTTTTTTTAATTACCCAATTCATTTAGATTATGTTTTCCTTGAGGCCATCCCTTTTACTCTCAATGCAAGGTAAACAATGCACGCTCTAAAATCAACAAAAACAATGACATTTTTATTTATTAGCAGCAGATAGACATTAGTATGAAAAACACAAAGTAATTCTAAGTCCCAGAAACCCACACATAACCTAACCTGGAGGTTTTCTTTAATTCCCTCGAGTTCTTTAGAAGTCTTCGACAGCTGACGAAGAATATTGCTCCTTTCCTTAAAGACTTCCTTCAGCTGTCTCTCCAGTTCTTCATAGCCCTGTCTAACACAGAAAACAAAAGCATGAAATCCTCTCAAAACATTCTTCAGTGCACTTCAAAACAGTATTAGATTGCCCAGATTTAATTAATTAGAACTATACAGTATCTGTAGGTTCCAAACTGGAATGTGGAAAGATCTGTCTGTCTCTATATACAACAGCTTGTTTTCTCCTAATACAGATCAAGAGATGCTTTGAATGACAAAGTGATGTGCTGCATCTGAGTATACAAATCAGACTGAAAATACTGGTGTATTGTCTATGGCAAGCAGGAGATTGAGCAGATGTATTTAACATGTGTGATGGAATATAGTGTGAGATCTCTCCTGTTCTGAAAGACATCCTGCCATCGAAGTCAAGTAAAACTTGGTATGAAGTTTTTTGTCACCTGATAATTTTGGGCAAGGACAATTCAGAGCTGTTTGAACTTTGCAAGATTTATTTCATTTAAAAATTTCCCCCAAATTAATCCTCACTGCAGTACAGAATAGAGCTGAAAATATGCTAAGACGAATCAAATGCAAATTAATTTATATGGGAGAATGTTTTTTTCCTATCATTTCTAAAAACAACAATTCCTACTTAGATTACAAGTGTATTTTCTAATGTTTCTGTAGAAATCCCAAATGATGTCAATTCTATACTCTATTTTTGGTCCAGTGAAATACAGACCCAACTCTCATATACTATTTCAAGCAAAAAATCCCAAACATCTCAGTTAATTCTAAAACAGCATATATTTTCAGATAAAATCGTTGCCTTGAGGAAGACTTATCAGCAAGCTGGAGCATCTGTTTCCCCCTACAAGTGCAGTAGAAACCTTTTTTTTTTTTGCTTTGTTTTTACTTTCCTCACAGTAACTCTTTTTATCAAGGGAATAACAAAATTCAAGCCTGCAACACACGGGTGCTATTTTATGCTCAGATAGAATCATTGAATCCTTAGAGTTGGATGTGACCTTTAAAGGTCATCCAGTCCAATTCCCTGCAATGAACAGGGGCATCCACAACTAGATCAGGTTGCCCAGAGCCTGATCCAGCCTTGCCTTGATAGTCTCCAGGAATGCGGCATCCACCACTCTCTGGGTGAGGAATTTTTTACCAGTTGTATTATCCTCATCTAGAAAAGGAAAAACCGCTGGTCTTGTTGGGAACCTCTGAGAATGACTTTACGAACACACAGGGTGTCCATATAAAGAGGTAATATCAGGACTTGGTTATAAGTCACCTAAGTAATAATACATCAGAAGTAAATGATCCAGTACAGGTCACAGTCCAATTATGGATTTACAAGAAAATCCATACACCAAGGATGTGAACCTTTGAATATACAATGCGGCATTTACACCCCACAGTTTAGTTCATGTTTTCTCAAGCTGAATGACAGAATATACTGCTATATGAATTAAACCTAGCTACTGCAAGAACGCTTGATAAATACTAGCAGTCTAGTTGCATGCAATGAAAATAAAATCTCCAGCATTAAGTTTTATGTACAAACACTGACAGTTTTTGTGACTGCCCCAGCTATCTGATTTTTTAACTAGGAATATACGATGGTCAGAAAGCTATCTCATCTCAGTGCTTCAGACAACATTATATAAAACTAGCATAATGAGTTTCAGAGAATACCATCATTTTAATTTGATAACGAACAGAGGTCAAGCAGGAATTTCCTCCTGCTATGGGGTAATAAGGCAGTTTCAGTAAGGTCACCACTTCCTCCTTAAGCAGCACAATGCATGTATTGACCTCTTGCCATTGAGCTGTCATGCTTTTGTTTAAAGTAAAACCTTGCATTAAAAAATCTGTCCAAGTGGTAACACTGTCTTAAATAATCACTTCCAATTAAAGACCCAAAAAGACCTGCTCCCTAGCCCTCTCCCCCAAAATAATTCCATTACACATGTATTAAATCTGTTATCTGAATTTTAGGTTACAACACTTAGTCCATTCAGCAAAATGAAGTGTTATTTCCAGCAAATCCATCTGAAACTAGAATACTAGAGCAAATACTATAGCAAACAGATTACAGGAAACATTTCAACAGATTATAAATTTTGGTGTAAGAAGGAGAAATGTCTATCAACTCCATCTCTCCATCACTACAACTCTGACTACTATTTCTTCAAATATCAGAAGTTCAGCTTTTAGTCTTCAAAATAAAGATCAAGACTTTTCCCTGAATAACATGTACAATGGCAGGACAAAGGAAAACTGATTTTGTTTCCTGAGAAACAAAAGTGAGAAAAAGATTCATATCAACATAACTGAAAGTTGAAGAAAAGAATCTCTAAAATGAGTGAACTTGAGATAGAAATCATTCACGACAATAGAGCATCACATCATTGCCTTTTCTCTATATAAATATGAGCATTTTTAATCATGAAGTTCAGGGGGAGGGAGGTTACTGACAACCAAGAAACAGAATGAATAAAACACGCAATAGGTAATACACATAATACAATATCAATATAATATAGTATCATCTAACCTCAGCTTCAACTATATTTATAATTTCAGTCAATTCTGAATCAGTTGACCTGTGGGAAAAAGTCATATAGGCATTTTGCTGAACAACAGATAAGCCCTTGCTGAAATACAATCTGCCAGATATAACCACTTTGCACACTCAAATGGCATTTCCATAATATGTTCTGTATTCAGCCATTATCTAACCACTGTGTTTCAGGCTGAAGAAAATACAAGGAACATGAAAAAATTGGGATTTAGGGGAACCAAGGAACATTTTTATTTACCTGTCCTCCATAGCTTGTGTACAAAATATTCGATTGAATGTTTCCCCTCTACCTACTGAGAATCACGCACAAGTATGTAGTTTATTAACTATTCAGAGAAAAAATCCCTTAGTCAATACTTACATGAATTCTAAACAGTCTTAAGCATCCTATGTATTTTAAGTGCAATAGCCCACAAAATGGTTGCAGCCCAGATGCGTTTTATTGGGTTTTTCCACAACTAGCAGCTAGAGAATCAGGCCCTTTGCATCCACTTCCTCTGACTTGCTAATGCATGCACTCTAAATAAAACAAAACCAACCTGGCTTCTCTTTGGCAGACCCTTGGCTCTGTAGAATCAGTAACCCACCAGAGAAAGCACACAACTGCCAGTTCCCACAAAAGGAGCAAAAAGAGACTTCTGAAAACTTGTAGTTGGCATAAAACAAGGCTCCGAGAAATAGAACAGCAAGTTATGTGTTTAACTTGATATTGAGAATGACTCAGGGGAAAAAAAAAACCCAACAACTTTCATTGATCTACTTTAAACTGCATAGGTCACGAAAAGTGAGTTAACGTCACGAGGAAGGACAGCACAAAATGTTGTGATTCCACACTAAAATAACTTTACCTAGAGCAATAAATCCTTACTGAATTCATACAAATGTAATAAGGAGCAGGCACATAAACCTTCTGAAAGCTATTAAACTCTGCACAACTACTCAAATACTGCATAAATATAGACTTGTCCTCTGCATGAAAACTTTGCCTTTCACATCAGTTCAACAGGATTTGGTCTTCAGTAGGAAATACATTCACACTAAAACCTTTCTCTTTTTGATAGGTAACATTGCAATTTTTCAGTTCTGATATTCTTCATCATTTATATCCACAACACTGCATCTACGTTTGTTTTCTACCACAAATCTTTGACTGTGACCTCAGTGTTAATATCCTCAAATACACAATACATGCAGTAGACTTAGCAGATAACCAAAACCACTTTCTTCCAATAACTCTGACTAAGTCAGGTTAACATTTCTGTCTGTGCGCTATGTTAAATTCTCTACTTACTGGCTATGAGTACTAGCATAGCACGCACATATCTGTCTGAAAGAGACAATACATCACAAAAAAGCAACTTCTGTACACAGATTGTTATGAAAGCTACATCAGAATGGAAGTATATCAAGGTTCTTATCTTGGTTCCCAGATACTGGTAGAAAATTTCTCATTTCAGTTGGCTCTTACAGCATTGCATCTTTAGTCTTCCAAGACTTCCAGTCTTACCCTTATCCAGGGCAATCCTGAATCTCTTTTGGATTCACAGCAAACTTTTCAAAACTAACTGTAGGTCCAGAGTAGTCTGGCTGTGGTAAGCCTCATTGTTTTGTTGTTTAAACTCTTATCTCCTTATAATGAGTAGGTCACCTGCTCAGCAATTCCATCAGCAAATCTGTCCCGCACATGCTCTTCAACCTGTTACAGTGGCAACAGAGCTTTAAACGGAATAGACAGAAGCAATTGCATAGCTCCTTTTCTGCCAGAAAGGCAACTTTGAACAATTTCACGTCAAATTTGTCTTTGAAGTATCAAGCCAATCTAACTTTGTTCAGTCCACTGTGAAAACAGATCATCATCTCCAAACACTACTACCCTGTCTGCTTGTACAAAATACAGGATCACGCACTCTACAGCACTTCACTTGGAATATTTCAGACTTATTTATTCAAAATCCAGAAAGTTCTGTTTTGTGTAGAAACCATTTTCTCATAAAGCTGTGTTTAACAGGAGGGTTTTATTCTGCTGAGAACTGCTGAACTTGTTGGTGTTGCTGCTATAACATGCATTTTTCTGCAACAGAATCATTCAAACATGCTACATTTCTCAGAAAACACTTGGGCATCTATGACAAAACCTGCAGGCATTTTTCTCCCTTCCTTCCACTAGTATTTTTACCATGTTTACTTGTTTGGTGCATAAAGCATTTCATAAACACTATTTTTGTGTTCACCATGGATTTTCCACAGCACATCACTTTCTGAATGATCCAAAATCTGGAGTGAATTAGGTTTTCATTAGCATAAAAGTCCTTAGTGAACAGTGTCATAAGGTGAAAAGGAACACTAGGAAACAAGACACTGAAGAGGACTGAGCATGGGAGAGGCTGCAACAGAAGAAGTGTTACAATCCAAGCCATACACAGCCAGTAGCCTATATCAAGGCTCACCACACTAAATTCCAATTGCTTGCTACATGCACCCAC